GGGGGGGAAAACTGAGGGTTGCGATCCGTTGCGGGACACGGAAAAAACCGAAAAAAAAAAAAAAAAAAAAAAAAAAAAAAAAAAAAAAGAAATATGAGGTTTGCATATGCATTTTCATTGTCAGTATCTGGGGGGTGGTATTAGAATTGGGGTATGCATTTTTATTGTCAATATGGAGGGGTGTGGTATTGGAATTTGGAAACCAGGGATACAAAATGTCATTTAGAGCCTAAACAGTGAAATACTAATGATGCTCCTTTTGAGAAAACACTGGTATTTTGGAAATCACATTTAGTTATTTTAGAGTTTTTCTAAACCTTATAACTTTTTATGCCTGATATTAAAGATAAATTGGTACAACATTTTACAGAGGTATTAAGGAAGGATTTTACAAATAATTTTTGGAGTAAAAACCCATAATGGTGGGAAGTGTTGCCTTACACAGGGAAAAGAGACATGCTTTTTCCTCTAAGAAAGAAGGAACCTAGGAAATTAAAGTGTAAAATGTAAATTTTAAAGTCAGTTTTTTATTTTCAGAGCCATCTACATGAAGATTGGTCCTTTTATTAGGTTCTGATCTTGTCTGTACTGTGAAAAGTCTTGCTTTAATTTCTTTATATTGTTTCTGTTAAAAGGTTTCCAAATTCCATTCTATCTTAATTACTGTGGTTTTGCTATATTTTGTTATATTTGTTATATTTCAACAAGATTTATTGTATATTTTAAGTCACTTTGTTTCATGATACAAAATAGGATTGTGACAAAATAGCAAGCTAAAGTAGAGTGAACTTGGCATATCAGCATTTGCTTTTCAGTTTGAAAGTAATAATGTTACATAGTTCATAGAATGAACTCATTAGTGAGATAGATAATAACTATTTAGACAATTGGCCTGTTCTAAAATTGTTTCAGAACTTGTAACAACTATATGCTATTATTTATGAAAGATGGTGATAAAAGAGAATACTTCTTTAGGAAGGTAACAGAATGGTAATGATTCCAAATATCACGTTCTACGAGCAATAAAGAAACTAGATATTTAAATATGGAGAAGTAAAAACAGGAGATAGTATAAAGTGTTTAAACTGATGATAAATATCTTTTGATTAGAAATAATCTAGAAAGGATTTTTACCATGGGTGGGAAGTTAGGCTAGAAAACATGTAGGATTCCCTTTACCTATTACAATTCTTTGATTATCTATAGACTATTAACATGTTTCAAAAAAGGAAAATATCAATCCCATAAAAGTGAGTTGGAAAAATATGTGACTTTTGAATGTGGTAATGAATTGTTTAAGATAAAAGACTTTTTTTTTTGGTGGCAGCTAGCTGGTACCAGGAGTCTAATCTTTGACCTTGGAGTTACAAGGCTGTGTTCTAACCAACTGAGCTAACCAGCCAGCCCTTGCTTTTCCATTAATAATGATAAAAAGATAATTAGGCCCTGAAATGTTGATCAGTTATTTCCATTGTGATTGAAATCAACTTGTTGGCTAAACTTCATGTTATCAGTAATGTAGGAGTTAGGACAAAGATCAGGGTCATCTAATATGAAGCACACTGAAGCAGGTAAGGAAAAAAGGTAGGCCAGTGATTATTATCTTTTACATGTTTCCATTTTCAATTTCAGTTTTGCCTTTAATGAAAACAGTAACAGTTTTACTTGTATGTTCTAAATAATGTATAAAACGATATTGAAACTAGAGGATTTAGATATCATATAATTTTTTTTATAGAGCATTTTTAATTTCATGTGTTTGTGAGTAACTTTTTAAATTTTAATTTGTTTAGTGCTTAACAAATGGCAAATGAACCCATATGATAGAGGATCTGCTTTTGGTAAGTGGATAGATTTTACCACCTCATTTGTAATTCAGAAACTTTTAAAAAATAATATTTGAGAATACCAAGAAAATTATTAAAAGGTATAGTACATGAAAATTTAATTCACCAGATGTTAGAATATAGTCACTACAATTAAACAATATAGTACTGGCATAGGAATAGACAGTGGAAAATAATGGAAATAAATCCCAGTATATATGAGAACTTAATGGAGGAAAAAAAAATAGTATTTTGTTTTAGTGGGGAAAAAGTATGATTTATTCAGTAAAGAGTGCTGGCACAATTGGTGATCCATCTGGAGCAATATAAAATTGACTTCTATCTCATATCATAATTAGAAATAAATTCCATATGTATTTAAGACTTAAAAATATATATAAATTTAAGTGTAGAAAACCGCATGTGCAATTTAGTGGTGGAACTTTTCTAACCCAAGTAAGAAACTCAGGAATTGTTAGAGAGGATAGGTATATTTGTATAAAATTTTTTTAAAATGTGGAAAACATATCATAAAAAAAGTCAGTAGACAAATAATAGATATAGAAAGAATACTTGCAATATTGATGAAAGATAAAGAATAATTATAAATTGGCAAGGGTTGTTTATGTAGATAGTAGATAAAGTACTTTCTGTTTTGGTAAGAAAGATAACAGTAAGGAAGATGGGCAAAGGATATTAATAGGCAATTGATAGAAGAGCAAGTCCAAAAGGCCAATAAACATGCAAAGATCAAATTCACAGATAGTAGAGATGTGGAAAATAAAATTATAGTGAGATATTGCTTTGTACCCATCTGATTGGCAGCAGTTCAACAGAGTGATGACTGACTTATGAATTAATTGTCTTTCTGGAAAACAGCTTGGCTTTACCTATTAAAATTAAAAATAAACATTCATCGAGGGTCTAGCTCATTGGAATAAAAGCACGATTATGCCAAGATATATGTACAAAGCTGTTTGTTGCACAAGGACTGTTGTGTAACCATTATGAAGAAGGAGTCAGAACTGTAGAGCTGACTCCGAGGAATTTTTATGAGGGGTTGATGAGTGAGAAAAGCAGGATGCAGAGAAATGTAGGATGGGCATGAGGAATCATGCACCACTTCCCCCGAAAAAAACATTAAAAAACAAAAACTGCTGCTTTCCACCATATGATAGCTAATTTATATAAAAGTTTATGTCTGTAGATATGCATAAAGAAATTTAAATATAAAAATTTTAGGGATTTGCCATTGCTAGGGAACTTTTTAAAAAGTTCATAGTTTTATATAATTTAGTATACATGAGTAAGAATTTGTACTTTGAATAATCTCTGAAAGGCAAAGTAAGATGTGTGATGAGGTGCTTTTTTAAAGTTTGTTCTACATTTAGTTGTAAACATGCACCAGGATGGAAGTCACAATTTCTTTCTAGTATAGACAAAAGCTAAATCTTAAAACAAATAAGCATTTACTATGTGGATATCACTGTGACTGACCATGATGTATAATATAGAACCTCATCTTTTAGAGTCTGAATATTAGCAGAAAACAAATACATGTTTGTTTATCCATGCTTTTTCCCATTATGGTTTCTGGATGCATGGATTGGGGAACAAACCAGAGACAATTCCTGTTACCTTTTAATATAGTAGTCACTCAAGCTCTAATTTAAGTACATAATCAGAACAAGATATACTGATGTTCTGTGTATCCTTGAGAACCAATTTTTTTTAAAGGACTCTAAAGAATAATTGTCTGAAAACATTTGTGTGATGATGTAGCTACTGTTAGTGCAAGTCAGGATAGGGGCTGTGTTAATTCCTTTCTAGGCTTGTTGCTATAAAATCTTGTCCTAGTAGACAGTATAGAAACTAGCCTGCAACATAGCCAAGGACATCCAGGGGATGGATAAGAGCAATTGCTGTTTGGGAAAATACTGTTATCACTCAGGGATCAGCAAGTCTCAGTCTCTGGAACATTGCAACAAGTCAAGGAATTATCTGATTAGTGAGACTGAATGATATTTATTTCAGAATACATGATTAATAAAACCTGAACTGATGTGTTTTTCTTTGTTTTTTTTCTCAAATCCAGCAATTGGGTCAGATGGTCTTTGTTGTCAAAGCAGAGAAGTAAAGGAATGGCATGGGTGTAGAGCTACTAAAGGATTAATGAAAGGTATTTGAACTGCATTTGTACTTGTATCAACTTTTGAGACAATGTATGAATACATGAACTCCTTTAGCTTTAAATCAAGGATCCGAAAATATTTTTAATAGTATAGAAAGACCTACAATTCTTCATTTGTTACATACAAATTGTAATTGAGAAATAATGGGAAAGTGGCTACATGGAAAATTAATTATATGTGTGTAATTTATATAAATCTCAAAAGTATTTTGCCCTTATAGGGAAGCACTACTATGAAGTATCATGTCATGACCAAGGACTCTGCAGAGTTGGATGGTCTTCTATGCAGGCCTCATTAGACCTAGGTAAGCCTTTCTAAAATAAGTGAATTGATTGATTTACATTTGTGGGTTGTTAATATTTTATTATTTGGGGAAGCAAAATAATAAACTTGACTATAAAAAATTTCTGTTTTAGAGACACGTAAATAATATTTATCTGTACCCCACCCTTTTCCAAAAAAGATTTGAGGTAACTTAGAAAAAAGTACATTTAAGAGGATACTTCAAAAAGTTTGTGTAGGGGCCGGCCCGGTGGCGCACTGCTACAGTGCGCTGCTTGGGAGCGCGGCGGCGCTCCCGCCGAGGATTCGGATCCCACATACAGACCGGCCGCTCACTGGCTGAGCGAGGTGCGGGCGCAGCACCGAGGATTGCGATCCCGTTGCCGGTCCCGGTCCGGGCGCGACACAGGGTTGCGATCCGTTGCCGGTCATAAAAAAAGACAAAAAGGAAAAAAAAAAAAAGTTTGTGTAAAAATGGATCTAAAAGGTAATATGTATCCTTCTATGAACTTTTTGAAGTACCTTCGTATATAACAGTATGAAATCAGGGAGAATAAAATTAAAAATGTGAATGGAGTCTGGGTAAAGTCAGTTTGTATGAGTATGTGCCACACCATACTACATAGATGCTTCAAGTTATTGTAAATTTGCCTCTGAATTTCTTAGTGGCAAATGCAAAAGCTGTTGTACTGTCTCGTGTGTTCATAGCGTTGCAGGGGTACTACATAGATGCTTCAAGTTATTGTAAATTTGCCTCTTAATTTCTTAGTGGCAAATGCAAAAGCTGTTGTACTGTCTCGTGTGTTCATAGCGTTGCAGGGTCTCCATAGGCTAAAAACTGTTCAGTTGTTTGCAAGGTTCAGAAACTTGGGGGAATTTTTTTCCTGTGGTTTCCTGAAGTGGAGCTATCATAATACAATGTGAATAAAGTTACTTTTTTTACAGGGCTTTTAATTTTATGTTTACTCTTAAATCTAGGTACTGACAAGTTTGGATTTGGCTTTGGTGGAACAGGAAAGAAATCCCATAACAAACAGTTTGATAATTATGGAGAGGTAAGCTATTATGTTATTGACTTAAACATAGCACTGGTAAATTTTGTTGCATACTTGATCACTCATGATACGACTGAGGGTATAAAAATGATTCTCAAAATGAAGTAGGTTTTTTGTTTATAGTATTTTCCACAGAAAGTTCAGATTTAGACTTCAGTGAAGAAATATTACAAAACCGGATAAATACGTAGTAGTTACAATTTTTCTTTTATGCCATTTTTAGCCCTTCCAAAATATATTGTCTTTTGTTTTCACCTCATTTTGATTTTGACTTTGGCTTTAATACATATGTTATTCTCATTTTTTATTTTGGATCATGGCGAATCTAAATATAGTTAATTTAGGTGAGCCTAAATCCATAGTAATGTGGATGAATCTCAATATATTGATTCAAAAAGTCCTGTTAGATGCTTCTACTATTATATGAGGATATTTCAAAAAGTTCATGGAAAGATCTATATTATTTTTTAATTCTATTGTTCCACAAACTTTTTGAACTATTCTCATATATGTTATATGCTCTAATATGCATTTTTAGCACCTACGTTAGCACTTCAAGGAATTATTTTGAAATACTAACATACTTTTTATACAGCTATTTTGAACTTGTAATTTCATTTAAGATTTTGCTTTCTATTAATAGCACTTGACCCTCTGGTTTTCTAGGAATTCACTATGCATGATACCATTGGATGTTACCTAGATATAGACAAAGGGCATGTCAAGTTCTCAAAAAATGGTAAGCTCTTATCTATCTTATTAGTGAAAAGATGTGTGTTATTCAATATGAGGGTACTTCAAAAAGTCCGTGGAAAGATTGTTATCTTTTAATTTCTGTTTTTCTTTTTTTTGTGTGTGATTTTTTTTTTTTTACCTCCTCACCTTTTTTAGTTCTCTTCCCTCTCTCCCTGCTTTTCATTTGAACAAATATTTATTGAACATTTGCTATGGGCTAGGTATCCTGGTAACTGCTAGAGACACAGCAGAAAATGGAGTAGACAAACATGTTTACTTCTGTGGGGCTTGCATGCTGGTGGGGATTGATGGATATATAAATGATATGTTAGGTGATAATAAGTACCATGGAGGAGAGTGTAAAGGAGGGGAAGGGAGTGGAGAGTGATAGCTGTCTGGGGGTGTGTGCCTATAGAAATAGGATGGTCAGACAAGGCTTCATGAGGTGACATGTGAGTAGAAATGTGAATGAGCTGGGTGGTGGAATGTTAGGTCAGGAGGCAGCAAGGCCAGGCCACATAGGGCCACATAGTGCCACGTAGGCTGTGATGCAAACTTCGGTTTTTATTTTGGGTAAGCTGGGAAGCCATTACAGTTTCGAGCAGAGGAGTGGCATCATCTGTCTTTAGTTTAATAGTATGTGGTGCTGGAATGAGATTGGGTGATGGCAGTAGGCAGGGAGCGATTTAGATACTAGGAGTCCACTTTGGGGCATTTCCATTTGAGATACTTAATAGACATGTAAGTGCTGAAATCAAGTGAGTAGTTCAATGTGTAAGTCAGGAGTTCAGGACTGGAATTACATCTTTGAGAATCATTGGCTTACAGATGATATTTAAAGCCATAGGAATGGATGAGAGCTCCTAGGGAATGATGATAGATAAATAGAGGATATCTGAGACCTGGGTTCTTGCGGTTAGAGTTGGCCAATTGTGGAAAATCCAGCAGAGGGGAATGAGGAGGAAAGCCAGGAGGAGGAGAACCAAGAGGACATAGGGTCCTGCAGTCCAGGTGAAGAGAGTGTTTTGAGGAGGAGGGAGCCATCAGATTGTGTCCAATGCTGCTGCCGAGTCTAGTCTGGAAAGATGAAGAATGAGGATTAACCACTGGATTTGGCAAGTGGAAAGCTTTAATGCGCTTGACAGAGAACTATTTTGATGAGCAAGGGGGTGGGTAAAGGGAGCCTGACTGGGAACCACTTCAATAGGGAATGGGATGAAAGGAAGTAGACACAGTGAATATGGAAATCTGGGAGTCTTACTACAAAAGGGAGAAGAAAAACGAAAGGTAAATGGAGGTAGAGATGGGTTGAAGGAAGGTTTGCTTGTGTTTTAACGTGGGAGTGTTTGTATGCTCTGGAATGTAATATAAGTGATCGTGTAGGCAGGGAATAATTAAAAGTGTGGAGGGGGAGAGGGGACAGTTTAAGGAGTAAAGTTAAAAAGTGAGGATGCTGGCCTTAGGCATGATTTACGCATGGTAACGTGAGGGAAAGCATGAATGCAGGTAGTTGGTAGATTTGGTGGTGTGAGCGTGTGGAAGTTTTTTTCTGATTGTTTCAATTGTTCTTTCTTTCTTTTTTTTTTTAAAGGAAAAGACCTTGGTCTGGCATTTGAAATACCACCACATATGAAAAACCAAGCCCTCTTTCCTGCCTGTGTTTTGAAGGTAATAAGAATCTGGTTCGAAAAATTTTGTTGTGATTATCAGCTGCTTATTTTTTTTTTTAATTGGTTGTGAATATTCATGGGGTAAATTGTCACCACTCATACCTAAGATGTGATGCCCAGATCCATACTGGCAGCATGCCCATTACCACAAATTGTGATTATACCCCGTGTCCTCCACCCAATTATTCCTCCAATTATCCCCAGCCTCCCTCCCCATCCCCCTTTCCCCACTTCACTTTGTATCACTAGGTATGTTCTCTCCCTCTGCAAGTCCAACACACTCCTGTGGTCTTTCTTTCCTTCCTTCTTTCTCTCTTAGCTCACACTTATGAGTGAGTACATATGGTACTTATCTGTGCTTTGCTTATTTCACTCAATATAAGTTTCTCCAAGCTCATACATGTTGTTGCAAATGGGAGAATTTCATTCTTTTTTTGCTTAATCTTCATAATATTGTATTGAGCAGTTTGCTAATAGGGTAAGAATTTTAATTTTCTCCTTTATTCAATCAATGCTAGAATGCTGAATTAAAATTTAACTTCGGTGAAGAAGAATTTAAGTTTCCACCAAAAGATGGTTTTGTTGCTCTTTCCAAGGCACCGGATAGTTACGTTGTCAAATCACAGCACACAGGTATTGCACCTGAGAGGGTAAAGATTTCTAGAATGGGGCACTGGTGAAAACTGCAGGAAGTAAGGCTTCTTCTAGTGGGTTACATAGGCCTCCCTTGCTAGTTTAGTCACACATCTTTATTTAACATGTTGGTAAAATTTAGTTTCAAAACCTTCATAATTTCTAAGTATTTGGTTTCAGTTTAGACATTTTGGGATCCCAATCACAATTGTGATGATATGTAATATATATAGAATGTGTGCTGATTTAGTGCCATGGCACTGTGGTAAGTGTTTCATGTGGATTATTTAATCTTCACAACAACCCTATGAGGTAGTACTCTTCCCATTTAAAAAGAACCTGAGAAATAGGGACTTGAAGTAACTTGCCCAAGGTCACAGAGCAAATAAGTGGTAGAACTGAATTCAAATCCAAGCAGTTTTACTCTAGAGCTCATACTCTTACCTCTTGTACTGCTTAATATATTTTACTTACTTAAAGTAAGTACATTTTATAGCTTATTTACTTTATCACAAAACAAGTGGGTCAATTTTACAGACATATTAATCACAGTTATTCCAAGTAGACCTTGTACTGCTTAATATATTTTACTTATTTAAAGTAAGTACATTTTATAGCTTATTTGCTTTATCACAAAACAAGTGGGTCAATTTTACAGACATATTAATCACAGTTATTCCAAGTAGATTTGATTTAAAGAAGGCTTAGTTCCTTTTAGGAATCTTGCCTTTATTTTAATTTGTTTGACTGTCTCTTATACTTTTTGACAATTATTATTTAAAATTTTGATACTGGGATATTTGCACTTGTGTTTTACAAATAATGGTATTTTGAGGTGTGATTTGAATATGTTCTAATTTTTTCTATTTTCTTAAGGTAATGCACAGGTGTCACAAACTAAGTTTCTTCCAAATGCTCCAAAAGCTCTCATCGTTGAACCCTCTCGGGAGTTAGCTGAACAAACTTTGAATAACATCAAGCAGTTCAAGAAATATATTGATAATCCTAAATTAAGGTAAATCTTCCTTTGTGCTCAAATGCCTATTGTTTTTAGGTTTGAGGTATTTTGGAAGAAGGGTGAGGTAGAAAAAATTAGGTAGAAATTCAATATGTGTGCATAATACATGTGTGTGAATGTGTAAAGATTACTTAATTTTGATATTTAGTAATAATTAGTTTATATAAAATTCCCATTTATTTGGTAACTGATAAGTTTGATTAAAAAAAAAAAAGCAAATCGAGATATTGAGATTTTTCCTGTGTCTCCTACATGAAAAGTCATGGTTAGTCAAACAGTATTGGAGTAAAAATTAATTTTTTAAAAGGAGTATTTCATTCAGCTTAGCTACATTTCATCACTTTGTCTGTATAGAAAATGTACTGCTCTATTTCTACCATGTTGGTAAACTTAACTTGATGAGGTTGATTCTAGACTGCCCCAGTGGTGGCTTTCTTCCATTTGGGCATTCAGACTGGTCAATATCTAATTACAGGGCTCTTTCTGCTTGCTCAGTAGCAATCCCTTTTAATTTGAGGAAGGCTATACCGCATAAGTAAACTACTCTGTCAGTTGATTTGACTCTTAATTTTTGTCAATTTTTCTTTTAATTACTTTTTAAATTGAAACATAATTCACATACCATAAAACTCACCTTTTAAAAGTGCACAATTCAGTGGTTTTTAGTTTATTTACAAGGTTGTGCAATCATCACCACTGTCTAATTTCAGAAGCTTTGAATTTTTTTGACATCACAAAGGCCTGTCTTTAGTATTGATCTTATAAGTTGTACAGATTTATTTAAGGACAAATTATACTAGGTAAAATAATATCTAGTTTTGTTTTGAAGACTGATGCATGTCACTCATTCAGCAAATAGTACTCAAATGACTACAATGTGTGAAGTCTTACTTAGTCTAGGGATCAGGGCCATATCAATGAAAATTAGTCTTTGCTTTCACAGAATTAAGTGTGGGAGTGTGGGATAATGTGGAGGAGAGAGAAACAAATGTGATAAATGCTTTGAGCTTGCAATAGGGAAAGCCACTATAGCAGGATGTAACCAGGGCATCTGCTTAGAATAAGAGACTCAGAAATTTCTTTATAAGAGTGTTTCTGGAAAAATGTAAAATGTTAGTATGAATTGATTTTTGAGCTGTGATTATGTATAAAAATTAACATGCCTATAGTCAAAGGCTGGAAGGGAGGATGAATAATAAATAAATTTACTGGTTAAGATGGTTAAGTTATAGGTTACTCATTTGGTATTCAATACAAATGAGCTTTTTCCTTCCTTTAAAAACCAGCTGAAATGCAGATCTTTCTGTGAAGCTAACCTAGCTGCCCCAGCCCAATCCTTTCTCCCTCTCCTGATACCACTGACTGTATGTATTTATTGTCTGCTAAATTTAAAGGGACAAATATATCTGATTATGAAGATGGATAAGAGTAAAGTATTGTTGGAGAAGAAATGATAGATTTAGGACAATAATTTCCAAACGTAGGAACTTGGACTCTTTGTTGCTTTGCCTCACACGGATTTGTCACCTCTGTTCCCCTGGGTGACAGAGGTGCAGAGGATTACTCAAAGCCCATTTCTTCTGATCAGTGAGAGACCCCGAAGGGGTTAATTTCCTGGAACCCTCAAGAGAGAGGCATTCCTTCTTTTGGAAATTAACCCCAAAATGGGGTTCTCTCCCTGCATTTATTCTCCAGACCAGGAAGTTACATAAAAAGAACATAGGTGGGGTTATGCCTAAGTATAGTTTAACAACATAGGCTGGTAACATCAGTGAACCATTCAAAGTGATGGGCCGGCCCGGTGGCGCACTGCTACAGTGCGCCGCTTGGTAGTGCGGTGGCGCTCCCGCCGCCTAAGTATAGTTTAACAACATAGGCTGGTAACATCAGTGAAACATTCAAAGTGATGGGCCGGCCCGGTGGCGCACTGCTACAGTGCGCCGCTTGGTAGTGCGGCGGCGTTCCCGCCGAGGGTTCGGATCCCACATACAGACCAGCCGCTCACTGGCTGAGCGAGGTGCGGGCGCGACACCGAGGGTTGCAATCCCGTTGCCGGTCCCGGTCCGGTACGGGCGCGACACTGAGGGTTGCGATCCGTTGCCGGACACGAAAAAAGACAAAAAGGGAAAAAAAAAGAAACATTCAAAGTGACATTCCATAATGCAATTTGCAAAAGTTCGAGTCAATCCACCAACAAAAGCTTGATCTTAGCAAACATTTTCCTTCCTTACAGCAATTTCCCCAGTTTTTTACATATCAATCAAGTAACTTGTCTGTCCTTGAGCCAGCAACTTTGCTGTGTTACAAAGACTTTAGCCTCAGTAAAGTTTCCTGTCTTTTGCAATGTTAACATTTCTATATGTAATTCCAAAAGGTTAGGCTAAACCTGAGACTACAGGGCTTTGGAAAATAGGCCCTGTGAAATACATTTACTTTAGAAATGTTAATGTTCTCTACACACTTTATTTAAAAATACACATTTATTGGTTCCCTCCCATGGATGTATTGAATTAGAATTGGCAGGAAACAGAAATTAAAATCTTTTTTTGTTTTGTTTTGTTTTTTAAAAGAAGAAAATCAGCTCCAGGTGATTTATGTAGCCAATCTTTCATCTGATATTGCTTGATTTAGGAAACATAATGGCTCTAGTGTGGTAGATGGTTAGGGAATGTGCCAAGATAAAGACGTTCACAGACTGGAAAGCTCTCTCTTTTTTTTTTTGTATTAAGTTTTACTGTCTACATTGCTTAAGATGAAGGTAGGCAACCATCAAGCCAATTTTTAATGAGTCATAGAATTATAAAACTTAGGGTTAACATGTCATCCATTTTCTTAGTGTTTTCCAATATTTTTAAAATGACTAATCAAATAAAATAAGAATAAAATTAATAAAGGAAGACACTTGGTAGATACTTCTGATTGAAATTTATCTGGCTGCCTCAGGAAGTAATTTTGTCTGCTGTTTATTAAAAGGAGATAATCTTTTTGTAAGTAGGTTTATTGAGATATAATTCACATCATAAAATTCACCCTTTAAAATATATGGGTTGTTTTTAGTTTTGATTATATTCACAGACTTGAACATAATTACCATCACCAAACAAATTTTAGAATATTTTCATCACTCCAAAGTGAAACACTGTACCCATTAGCAGTTAGTCCTATTTCCCCCTAAACTTTCCATCCCTAAGCAACCACTAATTTATTTTCTGTCTCTCTAGATTTGCCTTTTCTGGACATTTTATATAAATGGAGTTGTACAATACATGGTTTTTTCTGACTGGCTTCTTTCACTTAGCATAATGTTTTCAAGGTTCATCTATGTTGCAACATGTATCAGTACTTCATTCCTTTTTATTGCCAAAAAGTATTCTGTTGTGTGGATAATACCACATTTTGGTTTATCTGTTCATCAGTCGATGGACATTTGGGTTGTCCATCACCATTGGGTTTTTAGCTACTATGCTATGAACATTTTTATACAAGTTTTTGTGTGGACATATGTTTCCACTTCTCCTGGGCATATTCTTAGGAGTGCAATTGCTGGCCATGTGGTAACTTCATGTTTAACATTTTCAGAAACCACCAAACTGTTTTCCAAAGTGAATGCACCATTTTACATTGCTACTAGCGATGTATGAGGGTTTGTATTTCTCCACAGCCTTGCCAACCCATTACCTGTCTTTTTGAATATAGCCATCCTAGTGGGTATGAAGTGATATGTTGTTGTGGTTTTGATTTGCATTTCCCTAATAGCTAATAATGTTGAACATCTTTTCATGTATTTTTTTGCCATTTGTATATCTTTTTTGGAGAAACATCTGTTCAAATCTTTTGTTTACTTTTCAGTTGGGGTATTTTTCTTTTTATTGTTGAGTTGGAAGAATTCTTTATATATTCTGATATATATTCTATGTATTAGGTATATGATTTGCAAATATTTTTTCCCATTCTTTGAGTGGTCATTTTACCCTCTCAATAGTGTCCTTTGAAGTTCTTAATGTTGATGAAGTTCAATTTATTGTCACCTCTCCCAGGGTGATGGAGACACAAAGGATTACTCAAAGCCCATTTCTTCTGAGCAGTGAGAGTCCCCAAAGGGGTTAATTCCCAGGAACTCTCAAGAGAGAAGCATTCCTCCTCTGAAAATAACACCGAACTAGGGTCTTCTCTCAGTATTTATTCACCAGGCCAGAAAGTTACAGAAAAGGAACATAGGTGGTTTCAAAAGAACAGTAAGATAATTGTCATGGCAACAGTCATTAGGTTTGGCTGCACCAAGGACATCTGCCCTTAGAGCCAGCAATTTTTTTTTTTTTTCCTTTTTATCTTTTTTACTGACCGGTAATGGGATCGCAACATTCGGTGTCACGCCCGTACCGGGGACTGGCAACGGGATCGCAACCCTCAGTGTTGTGCCCGCACCGCGCTCAGCCAGTGAGCGGGAACCGGTCTCCACATGGGATCCGAACCCTTGGCGGGAGCACCGCCGCGCTCCCAAGCGGCGCACTCTCCAGTGTGCCACCGGGCCGGCCCTAGAGCTAGCAGCTTTGCTGTGTTACAATTCTTTATCTACAACAGAGACTTTAGCCCAGAGAAAGTTTCCTGTCTTTCGCAAGCTTAACATTTCTGTGTGTAACTTTAAAAACTTAGGCTATACCTGAAACTACAGAGCCTTGGAAGCTAGGCACTGTGGAATACATTTGCTTTATTAACGTTAGTATACTCCACAATTTATATAACTTTTAATTTTTTCACTGCATTTTTGGTGTTCTATCTAATTTAGGCTTTGCCTAACTCAAGTTGTGAAAATTTACTCCTGTGTTTTCTTCTAAGAGTTTTATAGTTTTAGTCCTACATTAAGGTCTATGATCCATTTTGAGTTAATTTTTGTGTATGATGTGAGGAAGGGGTTTAACTTCAGTCTCTTGTATGCACATATCCACTTGTCTCAGCACCATTTGTTGAAATGAGAAAAATTCGAACAACACAAAAAGGTATCATGTGAAAAGTAAGTCTTCTTTCACTTCATCCCTTGGTTTCTAGTTATCCTTCCTGGAGGCAACCTATTTAAATTGATTTTTATCTATTCTTTGAGAGATATTTTATACACATGTAAGTATGTATGTCTGAAAAGGTGGGCTAGAACCAGATTTTAGAGGACCTTGAGTTATCCTAATATAGAAGGATGTGTAGATGAAGACTAATTTTTTCTGTGTTCCAAGCTTTCACATTCTCCTGTTACTTTACTATGCTTTAGCATTATATATGGCTGTTGGGAATGAAGTGTTCTGTTTCCACCTTTCTCCAGACTTACTTTATTGTGGATTCTTTCTCAGTTACTTTCTCAACCTTAATTTCTACCTAAAAGAATTGGATACAGATCAAACATTGTAAAGCAGACTTTAATCTTTCTTCTACATTATCATTCTGATAATTATTTCAGGGAGCTTCTGATAATTGGAGGTGTTGCAGCACGGGATCAGCTCTCTGTTTTGGATAATGGGGTAAGCTGTATTTTTGATTTCTAAAATGTAACATTATGGGTTGTCATTTTGGCAATATAGTTTTGTTTCAAGAAAAATCAAATAAGCCTGAAGTTAATACAAGATCAGAAGAGTACATTTGTTCCAAGACATCTTGTAAGTGCACCTTTTCTTTCTCTAGAAATATACATAACAGTAGTCTCTTCTAAACCCTTAGTGCAAAATTCCAACATACATGCATATTTTTGTTTGTTTACCCTTTAAGCACCCAAGAATTTCCTTTTAGCTTTCATGAATAAGAGCCATTCTTTTGGGGGGTAATTGATAAAGAAGAAACTGGATTTAAGAACAAAAATTGAGGTAAAGTAGATTGCAGAGAAAGATAGAAGTTTTTGCAGTGACCCTTGGGAAGGCTGAATAATGTTAGGACAGTTGACTGGTTCCAGTGAGGAGAGAGATGAGTTCAGATATATGTAAGGAGAAGTCTTAAAGACTGTGTGTGCTCAGACATGCAAGATTGTGTGATACCCATCATTGGGGCAGAAGTTTGGGAAATTCTTAATTATGTTCATCAATTCTGTGAAGGTAGGAATTTTCTCCTTACAAATATCTTTTTTTTATTTCCTTTCCTAAATATTTAGTCATTTAGTCTAAACCAGCTGATACTGAGTCATGGTGAGCAATGATGTCCTCCCTCCAATTCTGTTGATGCCCCTGTCAAACTAAATTTTATGCCGAATGGACTTTAGATTTGACCTGGTATGGTGTATCAAGAACAAGGAATCATATTACTGTACTTGTTAATATTATTCTAAGATGAGAAATATATTGCTTTGGTATGTTTTTATTTAGTGTATTTATATATATATATACATTTATATATATGTATATTTAAATTTCAAATACATCAGTAGTGTGTTTCATTTTAGTGGTTGCAAGAGAGATTTGATAGGTTCATTCCCAGTCTTGGTTCCTCAAACCCAAACCTATTTTTCCTGTAAGATATATTAAGTTTCTCCACTCACATTTTCCACCTACAGAGCTTTTAAGGGATTAGATCTGTTTTCATCAATATATCTCAAAATCTGAAGCCAGTGGCAAAGTAAAGGCAGTGTTATTCCATAGCTTTGTTGGCAGAATTCAATTCTGTTTTTCTTAGGAGATCTAATATGTTCTCTTTCTGTTCTTTCTACCTTACATTCTTTACTTCTGTCATCTTCCACCATCTTCTGCTTCAGCTTTAGCCCTGCCTTCTATTCTGTCTTATGCTGAGGCAAAAGTCAGCTTTGGAGTGAGAGAATAGAACTATTTTAACTTTTCTAATCTTTCTTTTTTTTTTTCCTTTTTGTCTTTTTTACTGACCGGTAACGGGATCGCAACCCTCGGTGTCACACCCGTACCGGGGACCGGCAACGGGATCGCAACCCTCAGTGTTGCGCCTGCACCACGCTCAACCAGTGAGCCGGAACCGGTCTCCACATGGGATCCGAACCCTCGGCGGGAGCGCCACCGCGCTCCCAAGCGGCGCACTTTCTAGTGCGCCACTGGGCCGGCCCAACTTTTCTAATCTTTTAAAGTGGCACTATTATGCAGTATGTAAATTCAGGCCTGATACAGTAGTGAGTGCTGTTATATAAGTTATATAAATATTTCTCTCAGGCTTCTCTAATCTAATAAATCTTAAAAAACCAAACCAAAACAAAACTGAGAGCGCATGTATTTGTTTTCATGCCCATTTACTTACTGAAATGGAGGAAGGAGGAAACTCACATGGTTGGTTAGGGTACTATACTAAAGAGATGTTACACACAAAACCAGAATGGTATTTTGTTTCTGCTATATACAGCACCTGTCACACAGTGCTTGGCACATAGTAATTTCTTAATACATTGAACATATTTTATCTTAACATTTTCAGACAATGTTCTCTACATAGAACTTGTTTGTAGTTAGTTATCAATATAGATGAAACTATAACTCCAGAAAAGTCTGTTTTGTTTTTTATGGGAATATAAGTGCCTCATAGTGGATCAAATTAAAAGTCCATTCAGAACAGTGTTCTATGTTTTTTGAGGGTTGAGATCCTGAAGTAATGGGACTACAGGGATAACTTTCTTAGGAGAAAGCTAAGTTTTTAACTTAGGGTAGAGAAAACAGGTAAAAAGAAGTATTTGTGACTTTTCATTCCTGTGGATAAAGAGTAGATGTTCTGAATTGTGTAATTTATTGAATGATTTTATATAATACCTATCTGTGCTCACATGCATATATCTATAAACACACTTAGAAAATACCTAATCTTTATTAACTGCCTTCTAGGAATGAGCCAGGACTGTGCTAAATGCCTAACATTTTCTTACTTATTTTCACAACAGCCCTCTGAGATGGTAGTCTTCACCATTTTTACATATTAGGAAAAGGGCTTATACTAAAGGGTAACTTGCCCAAGATTGTACAACTTACAGGTAGAGCTTTACTCTGAAGTTCATGTTCCTAATCACTATACCTAGGGACTTTATTACAAGATGTATGTGGGACAATGCAAAATGTTAATTATTTGTTCTGGCTTGGAGGTTCGTTATACTATTGTTTTTTGTGTATGTTTGTAATAAAAAGTTAAATAAAACTTGCTCTCATTTGAATTAGACCATTTTTCATGTTTGGATTCTGAATTTGAATCCCAGTGTGGTTACTTAGCTGTATGATCTAAGTGCTTGTGACTTTAGTACTCTAAAACTTTAGTTTCCTTATTTAAGAATAGGAATAATTGTATTAACCTTAGTGGTAACATAAAATCAAATTTGTACTTGTAGAACATTTAGCACAGTGCCTATTCATTATATGCACTTGACATGTAGTCATTTTTATTATTTTCCAGGACAGTCTGATCATCATCACTATTAATTATAACCAAATTTAAACTGGTACATTAAGCATCAAGTGCTTTACGTATCTTATCTCTTAATTATTACAACCATCTTGTAATAATTGTATTCCCCCAATTCGAAAGTGAGAGCTTGATACTAGAAGAGATTAAATAAGTCAAGATCATACAGGTGAGGAATGGTGGAACTGGGGTTTGAATCCTGGTTTAATTTCAGAATTCCTGTAAATTCTTCTGAATTTTGCTTGGAAAATAAAAATTTAATATATTAGACTATGTATAATAGTTAAGGATTTCAAAATCAATTGCCAAAATCTTCACATTAATTTCAAACTAAATACAAATTTAATATGTGGCATTATCTATAATCCCTTCCTTATAAATTTAGAGTTGGCTGTGGCTATGTCAGTATGAATGTTTTTATTATAAGTAGACAATTATTGATTGCTATTTTAACGTAACTACAGTAGTTCTTCAGTTTTTATTAGGTGTGTCCTTTGCTATTTTTCAGGTGGATATAGTCGTGGGCACTCCAGGAAGACTGGATGATTTGGTGTCAACTGGAAAGCTGAATTTATCTCAAGTTAGATTCCTGGTCCTGGATGAAGCTGTATGTTGAAATATAGTCATGCTTTTAAAAAAAGTTTGCTTATATTTTTTGAGATAAAATATGTAAAATGAAGAAAAAATACAATTCAGTCATGCTCCCAGTACCTAGAGATAATATAGTTACTAGTTTGGTGTATTTTCATCCACTCCTTGTATTTCATAAATACTATTTCATGTAGTTGAAATCAAGCTATGAGGAATCTGGGAAAATCTTTCTTTTTTTTTTTTAAATGTAATATCATAAGTATTTCATGTCCTTATTTATAAACAATTTTTAAAGGCTCTCTAGTGGTCTATTATATGGCTACTTCATGATTTATTTAACCACTCTTGTTACATCTAGGTAGGTTTGTTTTTTACTGCAAATAGGTATCTTTGTTCGTACATACATTTTTTTATACATATTATAGATTATTTATGTCAGAGTTACAAAATGTGGACCATCTGGAAAGACATAAATGCGTTTGAGGTTCTTGAGACATACTTCCAAGTTATTTTTTAGATGTGTTGAACTGTACATACATTTTTTTATACATATTATAGATTATTTATGTCAGAGTTACAAAATGTGGACCATCTGGAAGGACATAAATGCGTTTGAGGTTCTTGAGACATACTTCCAAGTTATTTTTTAGATGTGTTGAACTAGTTTCCCAGCACTGAGGGGTTTTTATTTTTCATATTAAAATCATATGCTTAAGGGCATGTGTTAGAAGCTATTAACTCTAGTGCTTATTATTAGTTAATAACTCTAGTATTCTAGAATACTGGAGTACGGTTTTGCATTGTTTTTTGCCACTTTTTAATATTTTAGTCACAAGGTATTAAAGTTGAATTCGTAACTTGTCTTTAAATATTTAATAGAAAATAATCATTTTGAAAATATGGGAATATGGGCATGTATGAATTAGTTTCCTTATCTTATGTTTTAAGTTTGATTTAGAAAAGAAAGATTTCAATACTGATTTAAAAACATGTTTTTGTTTGCTTCTTATGCAGGATGGGCTTCTTTCTCAAGGTTATTCTGATTTTATAAATAGGATGCACAATCAGATTCCTCAGATTACCTCTGATGGAAAAAGACTTCAGGTATAAAATGACTATTGCATCTTAAAATACATGTAGACAATTGTTACATATTATTGCTTATGAGCAGGATCAAATATTTTCGTTTTAGTGTCTTCTGATTAAGTCAAGTACTGTATAAAACATTTTATTTGTTACTGGACTATCTAGTCCACACAAAAGTAATAGTCTTTTTTTTTTTTTCCTTTTTGTCTTTTTTTTTGTGACCGGTAACGGGATCGCAACCCTCGGTGTTGCGCCTGTACCGCGACCGGCAACGGGATCGCAACCCTCGGTGTCGCATCTGCACCGCGCTCAACCAGTGAGCGGACTGGTCTCTATATGGGATCCGAACCCTCGGCGAGAGCGCCACCGCACTCCCAAGTGCTGCACTCTACCAAGTGCGCCACCGGGCCGGCCCAAAAGTAATAGGTGTCGCGTCTGTACCGCGCTCAACCAGTGAGCGGACTGGTCTCTATATGGGATCCGAACCCTCGGCGGGAGCACCACCGCACTCCCAAGTGCTGCACTCTACCAAGTGCGCCACCGGGCCGGCCCAAAAGTAATAGTCTTAAAAGCTGCTTTTAGAAATAAAAGGGAAGGAAATTCAAGGAAGTTACTTAGCTGTTAACAGAAGACTATAAGTAAAAAATTCTTGGTTGTGTTTTTCTACCAAACATTTAGCCTTTATATTCCAGATTATTGGTACTGTTTCCTATTTGAAGGAAGAGTAACTTAAGGTATCGAAAGATGGTTCCTCTTTAGTGATTATTTTTTAAAACATTTTTCTTATTTTTCTCATCCTTCTCTCTTAGGAAGTGTTTGAGAAGGAAAGGCTTTTGAGAGAAAGGGATAAATAGTAACTTAAGATTTTTGGTGTTCAAAAAACCTTTTCATCTTACTTAGTTTTTGTAGGACCTTGAGAAAGAGATGGCATTATTTCTATGTGACAGTAAGGGGACTGAACCTCAGAGAGATTAACCTGCCCAAAATCACACCACTAGTTGTTGCTGCATAGAGTCAGGTATCAAACTTATCTTTAGATTCCAGGTTAGCGTACTTTGTGCCCCATGTCAGTATTAGTGTGATATAGTTATTATTATAAAATAAAAGTTTATCTAAATTTGGGTTTTCCTATTCTTAGGTGATTGTTTGCTCTGCTACTTTGCATTCTTTTGATGTAAAGAAACTGTCTGAGAAGATAATGCATTTTCCCACATGGGTTGATTTAAAAGGAGAAGATTCTGTTCCAGATACTGTACACCATGTTGTTGTCCCAGTGAATCCCAAAACTGACAGACTCTGGGAGAGGCTTGGAAAAAACCACATTAGAGTAAGTACTTTATAATGTTAACATTTCTGTAGAATAAAGAAACTCATGAACTAGCTTTGCCTAGGGCTTTTAATGATGCTCAAAGAAAGTAGATATTGTATCAAAAAAAAACCAGAAGTCTTAAGTCTAAAACATTGACTGTGAAAGCTTATGCCTTTAAAAGGGCACTGAAAGAATGATGTACTCCATCTTTTATTTTCTCTTTTTGTAAAATTACTTTTGTGGTCAGCTGCCTTGATATAATTTTTATAAATAAATAAGATTACATTATATATATCTAATTTCATATATGATTTCCATTTTTAGTAGTATTTTAGTAGAAACCCACATCTGTGTCCTCTTGATGTGCCTTGCTCTCCTAAAAAAATCAATTTTGTGTGACTATCTTGTCATTTTCCCACTGTTATTAGATTTTGTATATAAGGATATGTTTATTATAAATGCACAATATGTTGGAAATCACATTTGCATTTTTATTATTACATTTAAAATTGATTGCCTTAGACCAACAGTTAACGAAGGGTTTTTCTGAATCTGAAGAATGGTTTTACCTACAGATTATAAAGATATATGTCTTATTGGACTCTAAAGACAGATGCAATTCTCCCTTTAAAAAATGACACCTGTTCTGAATCATTACTTAACCACTCCCTCTCCCTTTGTTATCCTTTGCTTTTGATAGACTGATGACGTACATGCAAAAGATAACACAAGACCTGGAGCAAACAGTCCAGGTGAGTTTATTAGTTTCCTGTTATCTAAATCACAATATTTTGGATTATAGAGTTCTCATTGATCATAGGAAACCAGCAAATTTTTCTGGAGATAGATTTTATATTGGCCCTGAATTTCAAAAGAATTATCATGCAGGTTCTTCATATCAGGGATATTGGGTAATAAAGAAAAATGTCTTTGGCTATAATTTTGTGAAAAATACAGAAATGATCTTGAAGTAGTTGTTGATGTTTTGGGTAGTAAAATACACATAACATAAAATTCACCAATTGACTATTTTTTAGTGTACAGTTTAATGGCATTAAGTATATTCACATTGTTTTACAACCATTATTGCTATCCTTCTCCAGAACTTTATCTCCCCATACTGAAACTTTGTATACAGTAAATGTTCATCAGTTTTTAAAAGCTGAACATCTCCAGAACTTTTTTATCTCCCCATACTGAAACTTTGTATACAGTAAATGTTCATCAGTTTTTAAAAGCTGAACATTAAATCCTGACTCAGTGAAGATTCTTCTATGCAGAGATGAAACAATTTGTTTCAGGTACTTAGTGTTTTGAATATATATGAAAGTACATCATAATATAAGGACGGAGCTTAGAGAACCTAGAAGAATGGTTCTTAAATCCATGAGGCTGTATGTCTGACATCAGATGTCTCAAGTGGATCATTAACAAGAGTCAGACTGCATTTGCTTCATGGTTGGTTTTCTACAGGTACCTAAAAGGTGAATTATCTGAAATCTTGACTAAAGAGTTCTTTTGAACTTAGTTTTATGTGCAGCTCCAAATTTAAAAGGTATATGCTCAATTATCCTTATTGTTGGAGAGGAGGAGAGACATTGCTAGTTCAAAAGAATTTATCATCTCACTGTTGGGAGTGCATTTTATAAAATCCCAATTTCTACCGCTTCTTGTATTTTCTTTGTAAAAGTTTTGCTTAGTTTATACTACAATTAGAGATAACCAGAGAGACCTTAGAAATATGTTGTGTCACAGAATTAAAATCTTGCATTAGATAGGTAAGGAATAACAACTGTAGCACAGTTTCACACTGAAAAATAGAGAAAATTTGGAGGATGGTGACTAAAAAATTACTAACTAGGTTTGATGTTAATGTTTTTATTCCATAAAGTATGAACTTTCTGATGTTTAGATTGATTTAGAAAGTACATTAGTTATTTTTAAGAAGGGTTAAAGTAATTGAATAAATGTTTATTGAGCATTTAGGGAAGTTATTATAAGGCAGAATATGATTAGTTTTCTATGAAAGATAAGAACAAAGTTTTGGTGTGTGTATCTAGGTGTATTCCCCTAAAAGAGGTATGATTATGGGTGTGTGTGTATACCACATAAAGAAGCATAAGAAACATGAACAGCAACAAAAATAAATGAATAAATGGATTAACTCACTATTTTACCATCTTGTTACTTCCTGTCCTTGTCTGTAATACTTGTATTAAAGCAGAAATTTTTAGGAGTGTTAAGCAGTAAGCCTATGACTGTAATTATTTGTGTTCATAACAATTTTAGATTGAAATTCTGTTGTTTTTTGTTGTGGTGGTGGTGGTATTCAAGAAATGTGGTCTGAAGCTATTAAAATCCTGAAGGGGGAGTATGCTGTCCGGGCAATCAAGGAACACAAGATGGATCAAGCAATTATCTTCTGTAGAACCAAAATTGACTGTGATAACTTGGAGCAGTATTTTATGCAACAAGGAGGAGGTAATTCTTCCTCACTTGAAATAAATTGTGTTTATTTCCTCATTTAATAGATTGTTAGTCTCATGTTGATGCAATCTATAATGCATGCACAGCATTTCAAGCAGTGATGGCTCATTGTGAGTTTCTGTGCTCATCCAGTACTTTTCCATATGATAAGCCTTAGGAAAAACAGTGAGAAAATTTTCCACTTAGGTATGTTTTTGTAACAGTGATCATGAATCATAGCATTCTAAGGCCCTTGTATCATTTAGGAGATTATTGATTAACTTTAATATTAAAATAGAATCACTTGTGTATCTTCTAAACCAGTAAATACGGAAAAAGGGAATGAGGGGGAAAAACCCTAATCTAAATAAGGCTAAGAAAGAAAGAGGATTAATTAAATTAAATTTTAAAAAGCACAGTTAGAAATTACCGAATAAGATCAAAGGTGGAAAAATCTGAATATATGAGTAAACACTGTAAATATCAGTGGACCAAAGTCTTCTCTTAAAAGGCAGAGATTGTTAGACTGGATTGAAATGTGCCTATTTGCTGTTTACAAGGAACATGCTTAAAACCTGAGGACATAGATTGAAAGGAAAAGAAATGAAAAAGTATTTATGTATCAACCAAAATATTAACCAAAGGAAAGCTGGTCTAACTATATTGATTAGAGATGCAGTAGACAAAAATATTACAGAAATAAAGAGTGTCACTGTGATAAGATATTCAATCTACAGTAAAGATGTAATGATTCTAATATTATGCTCCTTATAACATTAAATATGTAAACCAACATGAAAAAATGCTCAACACAATAAGTCATTATGGAAATGCAAGATAAAATCACAGTGTAGTATCACTATATACACTAAACTAAGAATACTTATAATAGCAAATTTTGGTGAGGATATGGAGCAATGGGAGTACTCTTTACTATGGAGAATAGTTAAATGGCATAGTTGTTATTTTGGGCTGTCTCATAGTGGTACCTACAAGTTCCAGTTTTTGGTTTTTTTTTTAATGAAACATAATTGATTACACATATTCATGGGGTACAGAGTTGAATGTCAATACCTGTGTACAATGTGTGATGATCAAGTCAGGATAATTAACACATTCATCATTACAAAATGTGATCATTTCTTTGTTTTGAGGATACTCGATTTCCTCTCTTCTAGTCATTTGATAACATGCAGTAAATTAATGTTAATTATAAGTTCTGTTGAGTTCTAGAAGGATTTTTGCATTCACTCCGGTCAGACCTGCACTCTTTTTGTTACTCTGTCTACTTGAAGAATTTCCTTTTTAGAGTTGAGTAGAATTGCACCTACCTCTAAAATAGCACCTCTCAATCCTTCCAATTTGCTGCTGCTGATCTGCTGTGGCCAAAAAGATAACTAAGTTCCTTAGAATACCTTCAAGGGGCAGGCTTGTGGGCATGGCCTTTTAGGAAGGGCACGAACTTTATGATGCTTATTTTGGTTCTTCCAACTTTTTGGTTCTTAGCTTTAAAGAGGGTAGTGAGGTTCCTGGTGTTCACATATGCATTTAGTTGCTTTATCTACTCCTGCAGATTGGAAAGGATGACATAAAATGTCCTTAAAAAGGCAAATCAGGGCCGGCCCGGTGGCACACTGGAGAGTGCGCCACTTGGGAGCGCGGCGGCGCTCCCGCCGAGGGTTCGGATCCCATGTGGAGACCGGTTCCCGCTCACTGGCTGAGTGCGGTGCGGGCACAACACCGAGGGTTGCGATCCCGTTGCCAGTCCCCGGTACGGGCGCGACACTGAGGGTTGCGATCCCGTTACCGGTCAGTAAAAAAAAAAAAAAAAGGCAAATCAATTTTAATGCTCCATGGAGTTCATTTTAATGGCATTTCACCTCTGACAGAAATTGTGTTAACCATGGTTTATGGCAAGTGTAGATTTTCATAGAATTACAGTTGGCCCTCTATATCTATGGGTTCTGCATCTGTGGAATCAACCAACCACAGACTGAAAATATTTGGGGGGAAAAAAATTCCACATAGTTCCAAAAAAGAAATCTTGCATTTGCTGCATGCCAGGTACTATACTGAATCCATGTGAATGAAGTGACATGTAGGCATTGTATTAGGTATTATAAGTAATCTAGAGATGACAAAGTGTATGGAGGATGTGAGTAGGTTATATGCAAGCATTAGGCCATTTTATATGAAGGTTTCTCAAAAAGTTCATGGAAAGATTTGTGTATCTTTTAATTCTGTTTTTCCATTAACCCTCATTAGAGACTTGAGCATCCTCAGATTTTGGTATGGGGGGCGGAGGGCAGATCCTGAAACCAATTCCCTACAGATATTGAGGCAGGACTGTATATAGTACTCTTATGGTCTGAATTTTATTGGCTTTTTGACATAGTCTTAGGAATGTTTTCTAAGGTTAAATGTTCAATGTGCTTTTCACTAGGACCTGATAAAAAAGGACACCAGTTCTCATGTGTTTGTCTTCATGGTGACAGAAAGCCTCATGAGAGAAAGCAAAACTTGGAAAGATTTAAGGTACTGATATTTAGTTGGCGACACCTCCTTAATACTTAAAAGTAGAGTTGTATGTAGTTTTAATCAGTTTCCAATTAATATTATCAAAGCAATTCTTTTCCTAGAAATTCCAAAATATTTCTACCCTACCTGATGTACCTTCATCATGGCTGGGATTAGTCATCTTTGACACTCAAATGGTAAATTACATGTTCTCTGTCAGCACAGCACTACTATAATAAGAATTTTCAATTTAAGAAAGTTTTAGTTAAATTCTTTCAGGTAGATATTTTTAGGAGAAGTATCATTGGATAGTTAAGCCTTGTCTGTGAGCCTTTAAAAAAGAGTCTGTGGTAATATCCATAGAGAACTTAATTTGTAGATTAATTTAAGACAGGTATCAGAATATGGTTTTGTAGAATTAAATATATTTTGATATTGTTTTGGGCAGACCTTCCCAGTTATTTGCTCACAGCACATGAATGGGTTATATAGTTCTTGGTGTAGACTTGAGCCATTTAGAACTGAAGATAAGTAACCTCTACCCACAAGCAGTCTCATCTGTTTACCAGTGTATTTACCCCAGTATATAGTGCAAATATTATTTCTTTGGGACTCAGAGTATGAGAAAAGGTGGAAAGGACCGGACTAAGGAACTATGGAGTATGTTTTCATGCTGGGTATAATTGATGTGGATGTTAAAACATATTGCATGGCCTCATTTCAGCATGTGTACCACCCTTCTTTATCCTGGGCATCATAGTGGACCAAAAGTCAGTGTGCCCTTCTTCCCTCTTCCAAATTTCTAATTTTGCTCTGCCTTGGGGCACAAATGACATCGAAGGACTGTTTTGTTTTTCTTTGGTGAGCACCTGGGGCTCACTCCCTATTCCCTCCTATTCAGGGTTTTGTCTGTTGTCACAAAATTGTAAACTCAAGGTAAAATATCTAGTATTCTGAATTTATTTGAATACAAGTGTATAGATAATGCTTATGTTTCCACATTTTGTTTTATTTTTATCTTTCTCTTGAATTTTTAAAGATATTTTTATTTTTTTTATTTTTATTTTTTTATTTTTTTGTCTTTTTCCGTGTCCGGCAACGGATCGCAATCCTCAGTGTCGCCCCCGTTGTTCTAGTACCTTAAGGACAAAAAATTAAAAAATAAATTTAGGATAAGATATTTGGCATTTTCCTATCTCTATACATGTTAATATTTTTTCTCTGTTTAACTTAGGTTTGGTACCATGTATGTAGCAACCGTGGAAAAGGGTGTTATAACACAAGACTCAAGGAGGATGGAGGCTGTACTATATGGTACAATGAAATGCAGGTAGACTCACAAAAGCTCATTAAAATTGCTAAAATAGACTGCATTTATCTAGAAAAATTATCTCAGCTTTTGTTTATTTGTCAATTATGAGGCTAAGTAGTGAGTAATTGGTTGTAATGTTAGCTGTAGTTTGTAAATTGTAACTTGTGAGTTGATCTCTTCAGAAATCTGACTTTCAAGCATTCTAGCTTCCCTGGTTTTATTTAGTGCTGTTAAAATGTAACTGTCAAAATGAAATTTTTATTTGGAAATTCTTTAATTTCCTTTCCCTTTTTTAGTTGCTGTCTGAGATAGAAGAACACCTGAACTGTACCATTTCTCAGGTTGAGCCAGATATAAAGGTACCAGTGGATGAATTTGATGGGAAAGTTACCTATGGTCAAAAAAGGGCTGCTGGTGGTAAGCTTTAAATTATTTAAAATTCTATTTTAAATGTGAATGTGCCCTTTTTCAACATTAATTTTAAAAGAGTAATTTTGTTTTATTATGTTGAGTATATTATTAGTGTATTAATCATTCCCTTCTTATAACTCTCATAGTACTTTGTCCATACCTGTCTTATAGCATTTTTTATTGTGTGCTCTGTATTTGAATGAAGGACAGCAGCTTAACTGTTTCTCTTGAAGGGTTAATAAGAGTAGTTAAGCATTTTATGAAATTATTAGGAAACGAGAGTATAATAGATCATTTTGAACAGGGAATCATAATCCTTTGACTTAATTCAGGTGGTAACCCAGAATACTATTCCTTTTGCCCAGGGTACCCTTGTTAACTTGTTCCTGAAACATTTTAAGATTCAGGCTAAACTAGTGGTTTCCAAACCAAAGGGTGGGTGAGTAGGGGTATTGGGACAGCTATTACTGAGGCCTAGCCTTTTATTTGTATTGAAATAATTAATTTAACATTTTTAAAACTCAAAGTTTTGGAGATAACTTGCCCAGTAGTGCATTTTTATTCCTTGAAGCAGTGTTTAAAGTGATATAATTAAGCCAAAGTATTACTGACAAGTTATTTCAAGCATGTCATTTACATTACTTTGTAATTTGTGTGTGTGATGCAGGCGGAAACTATAAAGGCCATGTGGATATTTTGGCACCTACCGTTCAAGAGTTGGCTGCCCTTGAAAAGGAGGCGCAGACATCTTTCCTGCATCTTGGCTACCTTCCTAACCAGCTGTTCAGAACCTTCTGATTTTCACATATACTGAATAAGATTTGAGTAATAAAAGTCTGTAGTCTTAAAGCTCTAAAACAGTTGTACTGCTTCCAAGCAGCAGTATTTATAGTAACTTAAGCTATTAATGCTAATTCTTGCATGTCAGGAAACATTAGTCTTAGGAATTCTTTATAAAATGGCAGCCTGATGACAATAAATTTGATGACTATATTTTCATGAAGGTTTATGTCTTAAAGTTATACTGATTATATGTATTTCTTTTTAAAGAACGCTATGGGCTTATGAAATAAAGTTTATGGATATGTGAATTTGGGACGGGACCTACGTGGAATCACTAGCGAATATTCTAAAAGTAGTTTTTTTCACAGGGAGTGGTTGTAAATGGAGATTATCTTCAGATGGTTAAGTTTGTCTCGGTGTATACTGAAGCTAGAGAAGAGTTGTAACATGAAAGAAAATTAGATAATCACAAACTAGAAAGACTGCTTCGTTTGGAAACCTGGAGATTTTTAGGGAGTTAGAAAAGGTTCTGTGTCTGTCTAAGGACTGATGACTGATGTGATGGTGACAGTTAAGATGTATCTCTGAAGGATTACCTTCTTTTTAAGAACCTTTCTTTCCAGATGATACATACCCATCAAGATAAAACTAATCTGCTGTTTCTTCAGGTCTTAAAAGCAAACTTAAACTGAGTTCTTTGGAATATAGTTCCTTAAACACTAACTCTTGCCTAAAATACCAGAAGGAAAAAGGAAAAATTAAATATGTACAATCGAATGGTTCTTTTGTGCCTAGTTTTTTGGGGAAGATTATTCTTGCCCTACAGTTTCCTTAAGAGCACAAGCTATTATAATTTCTTGTATGATAGTTTTCAAACCTTTTAGCACTGAGATGTTTTCTTCAAGCAAAACATGTTGAATGAAACAATATAGAAACAGGTAAAAGCTCCAGGGGGAAAACAACGACGTAGTATATCGAATTTTCAAAGTTTGTGAGAAATGATTGAGGATATCATTCTTTCATTTATCTGTAGACCACCTTCTCTGGAGATGTAGAATCACTGTAACAGATCTCAAAGCTATGTGATGACAGCTCTTTAAAGTGTTCATACACATTAATCACTGCTTTAGAAATGAATTTTTAATTGACATAACAGCAAAGAAAAGACTGAGATTCAGAGCATTTAAATATTAAAGCTAGTAGGGATCTTCTTGATCACCTTGTTCGTGCTCTGGTTTTATGGGTATAAAAGCTGAGTTTAGAGAAAATGCACATTCACATGGCCTGGTTGGTAGACTGGAAATAGAACTTGGGTTTCCTAGTTTCAACTTTACTCTTTAGGCTACCTTTGGAAGATGATTCTCAGATCTAAATGAGTAGGCCACAGAGGAATGCTGGGTGGTACAGCTTAGTGACGGTGAAGAGTGTTGTTCAGTTTTTTCCTCTCCAAATTATTATCCAACTGGAATTACCCCCAGGGAACAGAGTTTTCAAAGGAGGAAGCCATATGTAACCAGATCAGCAGGTTTACTTAGAGACCTGACTCGCCCTTTTTTCCCTACCTACATCACTATTAATCTATCTCTTTACTCTTAGTTCTGCTTCTAGATGCTAGTTCCTTCAGGCGTCTGTAGTATTGCTAAGAATGCAAATAATTGTCTGGTTAAGATGTGGTCACTGAGAGATGCTGGAGACCTGACTCGCCCTTTTTTCCCTACCTACATCACTATTAATCTATCTCTTTACTCTTAGTTCTGCTTCTAGATGCTAGTTCCTTCAGGCATCTGTAGTATTGCTAAGAATGCAAATAATTGTCTGGTTAAGATGTGGTCACTGAGAGATGCTAGTTGCATCCCTCCTTTGGGGCTGCCTTTCCCAGATTCTCGTCAGTGTGGTATGAGTGGAAATGATGTGTACAGCTTTTGGGCCACATGCTTCTGCCTTTCCCTCTCTTCTCAGGCTGGAACTTACATGTGGTATTAGTGAGCCAGTTACCACCATTAGAAAAGTGTAATACTTGGGGAATGGTAGAGCAACAAGACAGAAGGGACCTGGCTGACCTTGGGAAAGAGGACTGCTCGTTCTGTCTGCTATGCCTGTTAACAATAACTTGATTTTTTTCTGAGCCATCTTATGTTTAGGTCTCTTTGTTATAGAATTTTATCCTCTATCCCAACTAATATAGAACACTTGAAGCCCTTGAAATTCCAGGAAATGTTAAATATTAACCTTCAAATGGCAGTACTTCTGACTCACAGCTTCGTCTTTGTCCATTCTGTAGTGCAGGAATTTGTAAGTGTACTCACAGATCTGGTGTCTGTTTGTCAGTCTCTCATCTAAACAGAAATGCCAAGACTTGCCCCAATTTCAACACATTATAGACAGGGCCCTAGGTCTTAGTAGTCTTGGCACATTCCTCCTTATTACCTATCTATTTAATTCAGTTCATTGCCTTCGAAGCTACCTTCAGGCTTTCATTTGCTAGAGTTAACCTTTCAAAATGACTGAAGCGGTTTTATGTTTGGGGATTTTTTTTGGGGGGGGGGTGCTATTTCAAATCTTAATAAACTTAAGGGCTCTGCTCTAACTCAGGTTATGTCTTCACTGTATTACTAATCTGGAGGATACTCTGAGCCCTTTATTAGGACAGACCAATTTGAGAGAGCATAGAAAACCAAATAAAAGGACCAAATGCTTTCATTGCCTGAGGATGTTTGCCTTAAAAGAACTGATTCTCTTAGTTATAAGACTGCCAAACCTCTCTGTACCTCATTCTTAATATATCTTTTCCTGTTTTAAACAGAAACATGGAAATTTCAGATTAGAGTAATCCCCACCCCACCCTACTTTTTATTTATACAAAGATACTTCAAAAAGTTCATGGAAAGATTCATATTATCTTTCAATTCTATTTTTCCATGAACTTTTTGAAGTACCCTTGTAGTCCCACTCCCAGAGAAAGTTGCTGCTAATATTTTGGTTCATTTCTTTTTCCTGTAAATTTTTTAGTATATAGTGTAGATCATACTGTATATATAACTTTGTATTTTCATTTAACATAAGCATTTTTCATATTATAAATACTTTAATGGCTGCATAATGCATTGAGTATGCTGTGATTTATGTAACCATTGTGCTCTTACTGCTCATGGGCATTGAGGAGAATTGAAAAGGATGTGAACTTCAGAATATTACTCCTGGATTTAAATCTGGTTCTAACTCATACTAGCAGTATGACAATGCGAAGTCCTTAGCCTCTCTAACCTTTGATTTCTTTGTGAAAATGGCAAAAATGATTTGCATCATTCAGGATTGTGTTAAGCACTCAGCATATTGTCTAGTAGATGAGAGGAACTCATACTGTATTTTACAGTATTTGCGCTATCTACATTTTTCCTGATATACATAATGTTGCAGTGAACGTGTTTGTTCTGCTTTTTTTTTTTTTTTCCTTTTTGTCTTTTTTTTTTCGTGTCCGGCAATGGATCGCAACCCTCAGTGTCGCGCCCGTACCGGACCGGGACCGGCAACGGGATCACAACCCTTGGTGTTGCTCCCACACCTCGCTCAGCCAGTGAGCGGGAACCGGTCTGTATGTGGGATCCGAACCCTTGGTGGGAGCGCCACTGCGCTCCCAAGCGGCGCACTGTAGCAGTGCGCCACCGGGCCAGCCCTCTTTTTGTTTTTTAGATTCCTAGAAACTAGAGTATTAAAGAATCTGAACATTATGAACATGTTTCAGGGTCATTGTAACCAGGTTACTTTCTGAAAGGGTTTACTAGTCAACATTCATACTGACAATATAGGAAGAATTCCATGCAATTTATTTTACAAACTGAATTATAACTTGTCGCACTTTAAGTTTGTTTACATGTTGTCTCTTTATATGGTGTGTAAATTAGTGTTTGTGAGTAGTTGGTGGTTTCACATCTAACATGCAGCTTCCTACTACGTGCCTCTTTACCCCCATGCACTCCCACTCCTGGCCCTACTGCCATCATATAAGATTACAAACAAGGATGTACACTTGTTTTAAATAAGATTGCATTCTGCTTTCTATTTTCATTTTCTTTTTTTTTTTTTTTTTTTAAGGCAGAGTGTATGGGACAATGACTGAGAACTGCCCAGATTTAAAAAAAAAAAAAAAATCCCATCCAATTCTAAACAGGCAAAACCATTTAATCATATTTCTTACCTTCTTCTGATTTAAAAGGGAACTGTGTGCTTTACTGAGCTTTGAATGAGATATGTAAAAGATTAAAGGTTAAATATGAAATGAGATTTGGGGTGGGTTCTCTTATAGTAATTTTATCATTTCTATATAGATGTTGACAATTTCTAAAGTTCCAGGGAATTTTTCCAAGTGACCTTATTTGGGGGAAAAAGGAATATTTTTTAGAAGGGAAAAAATGAAGTGGAACAGGAAGGAAAGGGAGGGATACTATTTTGCTACTCCAAAGTAATTGATAGAGGATTCCTTTGGAGGGAGGAGTGGAGGGGGAATTTTTGCTGTTGTTTTCCGTTCTGTTGCTTTAAATAATTACCTTTCATTTAAAATCATCTAAAGCTCTTGTTTTTTTGATAGAGAGTTGACTCTTCCTGGTCAAAAGTATTGAGGGGAATTTGAAAGAACTTAGAGTCAGGGAGGCCTGGATTTGATCCCAACAGTAGTTACTGACTTCTATTTTGCTGTATCACATGCAGAGATCATTAGTTCTAAGGTGGGAATCAGGAATCTGCATTTTAACGAATTCCTCAGATGATTGCATGCATGCAGATGGACCTTGAACCACAGTTTGAGAAATGGCTCTTAAAACTTCCATTTTCACCGCAGTCTCTCACCTGAAGGCTCAGGCACAATGATTCAAAAGGACACTGGAGAGACAGAAGCTTACTGTACTAGACATTTTTCTTTCCCTGGTCCACTGCCTTTGGACCAAAGATGTCCATCTTGGTTCTCTTTCTTTAGGTGAGTGATTCTCAACCTCAGCTGCACATTAGGATCACCTGAGGTGCTTTAGCAGCATATACCGGTATCTACACTTTACCTCCAGAAATTCTTGTTTAATTATCCTGGGATAGGGCCTGGGTACTCCAGGTGATGCGAATGTGGTGCCAGGGTTGAGAGCAGTTGCTTTAAACTGAGCCTGACTCTGGATGTTTCTCGGTCCTGTTGCAAATCATTGTGTGCTCTCTGCATATGCCCCAGTAATATATGTCTTAAGGTTAAATATAGTTTAGGCTCAAACTGGAACTTTGCTATAGTATTCTGCAGTGGAGATTACTATTGTAGAGAAAAACTGATAAA